TCGTGCGATAAAAAGAACATTAAACGGGCGGCGGTCGTTCCTACAACACGTTACTTGAGAGGTCAAAGGCCAAATGACCGACTGGATATTGCTCAACTAGGCTTAACTAACGGGTAACTGTATAGGAAAGTGCTTATTTTGTTTCTAGTAAACGTTCATCGTAAAAAGGCAAATTTGAAAAAAATAAATGTTAGTTAAAAACAAATTAGTTTCGCTAAGATTTTTTTTTTCAGAATATGGGGCAAACAAGCATGCGATTCAACTGATCACAAGTAGATAACTACCTTTGCACATGAATAACTTCACACCAGGAAAATTGCAGGAGCGTTTCCGGCCTTTTAAAATGTTAAGGCTCTTTTATTGAAGGTCCCAAAGACGTACTTAACGGAAAAATAGCTAGTGGTAATCGATTTCACAAAGAATTCGTGTGAGGAAAAGTGTCCCCGGTTACGTTTGATTGCGTGTTGCCATTAATTAATGACACATGGAACGGAGACGTAGTCGTTTGATGCTGGCCGTATGTATATGCTTAAAGTTGATTAGAAACCATTTAGAGAACAAGGCTCAAACATTTCTCTGCGTGGTAGAATCATTAACAACCATTTCGCGGTGATGATAAAATGAAATGAAATAGTTTATCCGCTGGACACAGGCAGTAATTATACAATGGAATATGGTACATTGTTCCATATATGTTCCGCCTAAATCCTAGACATGCAAATATTAAATTTTTAGTGTTTAATATTTTGGATGATATAAGAAAGGTTAGTGTAGGGTGATCTTCCAATAGATAGTGATGACCTAGAAAAACAAGCCGGAAATCGATGGATGCAGGTAGCTCAGGATCGTGCTATATGGTTCCTTGGGGGGAGTCTATGTTCAACATTGGACTTAGAGCTTAAATACCACTAAAAAGTGAATTTATAGTTATGTATACTCAAACATTAATGTGATGTTTGACGCAGTACTATATACTATTAGGTACCGTTACAGTCTATTCAAAGTCCTCTGCTGAACATAGGCTATCCTTTAGATTGTCTCATAGAGTAGAGCCACGCTGCAGCTATATTATGGTTGTAGCACGGACGGGTCGGCTCGACCGGGGAAGGACCACACTCTCACAGAATTCCAGCGTAAAATAGCAGCTTAATACTGCTGTGTTTCGTATGGTGAGTGTAGAGAACCGGAGACATTTTTTACTGGAAACGAGGCATTCCATCTTAGTTCTCAGGGGCGACAACGCATCTGCGTTTTGATTCTTAATCGAGGATAGATGTAGATGTCTATGGGCCACAGCATTCGATTACCATCAGGTGGACTGTGTGCTTGTTTATCACATTTCATCTATTAAAAAAATTGCCACGATTAGAAAAAAAGATAGATTCACAACCGCAGTTTTTTTTAAATTGATATGTAAATGCTGATACCCATTATTCGTTTCATTTTACTCTGATGCTCTGCGAATTTCCTTACGGCGCCACTACATGGCGATAGACACTATTTTTAAATAGAATAAGGGAGACAAACGAGTGCACGATCTATCTACCCTCGATTAAAAATCAAAATGTTGCGTATCACTCCTGAGGACTAAGATGAAATACCCATTTATTAAAACTACTTTTACGGATTTTATCGCGTTTTATTTATATTAATTTTAATACCCGACGTTTCGGGTGCTTTCCAGCACCCATGGTCACGAGGGACTGAGATGACTGACGTCCCGATGTCAAAGTTAAGAACAACAGTACAAAGAGAAGACAGTGTTCGCGTAAATATAAGAAATCATTATGAAATACCCATTTCTTTAAAAAAGGGTCTTCGTTTCTCTACACTCACCCTACGAAACACAGTAGCAATAACCTGCTATTTTACGCTGGTATTCTGTGAGAGCGTTTCACTCCTGAGGACTAAGTGGGTCCATAGTCATCCACATTTATCCTTTTTTTATAGGAGAGGGGGCAAACGAGCATACAGCTCATCTGATGGTAAGTGATTACCGCCGCCCATGGACAACTGCACGAACCAACCATCCAGGAGAATTGCAGATGTGTTGCCGGCCTTTTAAAAAGGAGTAGGCTCTTTTCTTCAATGTCCCTAAGTCGTATCAGTATCCTCAATTAAGAATCAAAATGCATATGTGTTATCACCCTTGAGGATTAAGATGGAATGCCTCGATTCTATTAAAAAGGATCTCCGGTTATCTCATAGAGAATATAACCACGTGGTTATATAGTCTTTGGGTTCTCTACACTCATCATACAAAACGCAGCAATATTACGCTGCTATTTTAGGCTGGTATTTTCTGAGAGCGTGGTCCTGCCCCAGTCAAGCCGAAACATTCGTACTACAACTAAAATATAGATGCAGCGTGGCTCTACCACGTTCGTATAGGCAATAGAATACTATAATTCTCGTGCATCCTAAGGTATAGGCTATAGGCGTATCACCTATTTCACTAAATTCTCATGCAGTTTATATAGAAATTTTTGTTTTGATGGGTCTTAAAAAGTATATTTATCGTCTTATGTAATTACCCCGCTGTTTTTGATTTAATATAATTTTAATAGCATCATTTAAAAAGTTGAAGTTACGAGGGGCATCCTCCCAGTCTTTACTATTAGTCTACTTATAGCTTGGTATTTGAAAAATAAAGCTTAAGTCCTTTTGGAACTCTAATAATTGATACAGATTCATTCTAATAATCACACTTAATATGAAAAGTCGAGAAAAAAATTTGCACCCTTCATTTGCATGCAGATGATATAAAAATGATCCACTGAAAATCTGTAAGTTTTATACTTTTTTACACCAGTACTGTCGTCGGCATTCATTGCTATGCGGACGACAGCACTGGTGATGCTTTATACACCGGCCGTGCCAATATTTACACCGTACCGGAGCAAAATTATGTCTGAAGTTGAGACATTGTTAAACAAAGTCTCGGATTGGGGGCGATTAAATCAAGTCCAATTCAATCACAGGCCTGTTGGTCTAGTGGTTAGTGACCCTGACTGCTAAGCCGGAGGTCGTGGGTTCGAATCCCACCCAGGACAAATGTTTGTGTGATGAGCACGATCATTTGTTCTGTGTCTGGGTGTAATTTATCTATAATATTTATGTATTTAAAAATATATAAGTATTTTTATCAGTTGTCTAGTAACCCATAACACAAGCTCTGCTTAGCTTGGGACTAGATGGCGTTGTGCAAAAAAAAAAATAAAAAAAAATCCCCAGAAGACACAAGTGTGCACGTTTACCGCTAAAAAGAACCCCGTTGTCGTATCTCTTCAGTTTCAAAACACTCCCCTTGTTACCTTAGCTACTACCGGAATCCTTGGCATCGTCTTATCGAGTGATGTGCAGTTTCGTGGTCTTCTATAAGAGAAGGCCTCTAAAAAGCTTGGCAAGCTCAGCAGTCCGGGACAGTATTCATGTTTGCACACCGCCTGCAAATTTACAAGGCGCAGGTTCGGCCACACATGGAATACTGTTCTTATCTCTGGCCCGGGGGCCTGTTGCATCTCTTTGCATTTTCTATCGCATCTACCATGGGGAGTGCTCTGAGGAATTGTTCGGATTAATTCCAGCCGCCAAATTTCACGAACGCACATCGGGACAAAACTCACGATACCATCCCTACCATCTGGATGCTTGGCGGTCCATCACTGTACGTTTTACTAGGAGTTTTCTTCCGCGTAAGACCTCTCTGTGGAATCGTTTACCACCAGCGATTTTTCCGGACCGGTATGACAAAGGGACCTTTAAGAAAATAACTTATTCTACTACTACTTAAAGGCTGGCAACACACCTGTAATTCCCCTGGTGTTGCAGTTGTTCATGGGCAGGGTAGTCACTTTCTATCATGTGAGCTGCATGCTCGTTTGCGCCCTGTTCTATAAAAAAAAATGCTGCAAAATAAATGAAAACGAAAAGTATGAAAAGTAAAATATCCTCCAACTTACATCCCTATGCTTCCGGTTCAGCTCCTTCTCTAAAGTAACCAGCATTTAACGTTTTTTTTTTATAGAATAAGGGTGACAAACAAGAACACAGTCCATCTGATGGTAAGTGGATGCTGTGGCCCATAGACATCTACATTTATCCTCGATTAAGAATCAAAACGCAGATGCGTTGTCACCCCTGAGGACTAAGATGGAATGCCTCGTTTCCAGTAAAAATGGATCTCCGGATCTCTACACTCACCATACGAAACACAGCAGCATCAAGCTGCTATTTTACGCTGGTATTCTGTGTAAGCGTGGTCGTTCCCCTGGTCAAGCCGACCCATTCGTGCTATTCGTGCTAAAGCTGCAGCGTGGCTCTACCACGTATTACATTACACTATACATTTATAAAATGTCGAATAAATACTTGACTTAAAAAATAAGTCAATATCTCGGTAAATAAAATTAATAGATACTAATTTTAATAACAATAAAACTATTAAAGTTGACATATAAAATTTATTAACAAGAACTGTTAGTATAACCGTAGTGAGTGGATAGGAAGTTAGGCTCTTCATGTTACATTTAAATTACTCATTTATATAGGTAATATTATTATATTCTTTAATCTGAGTATTCAATATTGAATACATCCTTTGTAATTGAGTTCTTTACGACTCTAATTCCAATTTTCATTTTTACCGTATGACTGACTGTATGTTCGTTTCTTTACAAAAGGTTTTTTTTATCAGAGAGAAATTGAAAATTGTGACCTTGACCTTTTGTTAATTTTACGACTTGAAAGCAATTTTAACGCATAACTTATAGTCTAAACCCATGCTAAACAACAACAATGTCTAATATCAGAAAATACGTAGTAATACCTGCACCCTGCAGGCACTAATAGTGGTGAAATAACCTATTAGACGTAATTATTTTGATTTTCAAAACGTTCATTACAGCAGCTGACGCCAATAAAGCGGAACTCTGCTGAATCCGCTTCGCCGTGGAACATTCTTCATGTGCGCAAGCTTTATCGCCGAGGGCGCGAGACAAATGGCAACTCGGAACTCGCGCGCTTTCATGCAAGTGTCCGGCACCCGGCACAGGGCGGCTGGTGGGCGTGCAGGCTGCACCGCCCCGCCGCTCCCCCCTGCCGGCAACCCCCCGCACCCCCGCTGTTTATTCTCGGCCGAGTGGCGGGGCGACAGTCGCCCGCGTGACGCGCTACAATACGAACGCGCGTCGTCACCACAAAATCACGGTCTTCGAAAGGTGCATTCATTATCGAACGGAATAAAAAGTACGCACACTCCAAATCACGGTCGCAGGTTCAGTTCGGTACGTGTCGAATCGTCCGCGGGCAGGGTGAAAAGCGGTGTCGCGGAAAATGCATTTCCCGAGTGCATGGCGCAGGCGGCACGGACCGAGGGGAGGGTGCAAGCGATGATGGACATCGTATTGATTTCTATCTGCCCGCGCCTCCCTTATTGTGGCGATGCAGGGCGCGCCATCGATCGTTGCACCGGCCCTGAATTAACACCCCTCGCGATCGCCTCTACTCGCTGAAGCCAGATTTTCGCTCTAGTGCGTGTTAAGTGGCCAGTTGTTTTTGATTGCGTCACGTGGATGCAAGTATTAAACACGGATATTCTAGGTAAAGACGCTCAATTTTACCGGACGACAAATAATTCGATACTATAATTATTTATTAATTGCTTTGGAATTGAGCGATTACCTTAATTACAATTAAATTCGTCGCGTAATAGTTTTATAACATACCTATCTCGTAAATGCAGTGTAGTGTCATGAAATTAAGTGGAGTTGATTGTTTTTCATTTTTACTGTAGACGTTAATTAGGTACCTACGTTGGATGTTTTGTAGAATTGTTAATTTCCTAACCGAAATTATTTCAGATTTGTGTCTTACTTTATAACAAAAGTAACGTAACATTTAATTAAAATTTAAAAATAAAAGAATACTTAAATATTGTTTATCAATAATTTATTGTAAATAAATGTTTAATGCAAATTGAATATTACACTAAATAAAAAAGATTAATCCAATTAATTGATACCTAATAAGTGTTTTCAAACTTGGTCAATACACCTAAGGACGCGTATGCAATAAAATCGCTTTTTACCCTGCTCTCAATTTTCAAAAAAAACACAATCAAATTTCGAACGTACGAACAAAAAAAATTAAAGGAGTAAATCTTTTCAGGAAATCAAAACACGTACGCGCATTAAAATACTACTAAACCAAATCAAAAGAGGAATACGCAAACAACGCTCCAATCCGCGGCGCGTTAAAAAAAGCCGCGAAGTCCGCATTTTAATAGAACAAGTGAGAATCGTTGACAGTGGCGGCGGCAAGCGCACGCGTGGAATGCGCGGGAGTGGATTCGTATAGCTCTCGAGCACGCCCAGACTCCGCCGTGCCGCCCTCAGAACTACCGGCCATGGCGACCGAGACCGGTGAGTACATTTGACATTACAATCTGTACCTACGGTTTTTTTTTTTGCTAAAAGAAGTAAAATGTAAACAAGACACTAATCCAATAATTACCGATTTGTAAATCTTGAGCGTAGTGCAATTAAAATAATTTTATTGTAATAACTTTATTTAGCTACGAATACGATCGCATTATTTATTGTCTTCTAAATATTAAAAAACTCAACAGAAACTGCTTGTTGTTTAAAAAATAAATACGTTGCTCATAGGCTTTAAACCAAAATGCAATGCCAAAAATGTAACTACGCAACTCATAATAACACACGCATCAGTTGAGTGGGACACTCATTTCTTCTCCACGTTAAAGAACATTTACGACATATCATAGGTGAAAAATTGTAGCGTGGATGAAGAATGATCGCAATAGATTTTAACATTAAAAAACCGAATAAAATCCTTGATGTTTAAAATTTACGCATTGCAAACGCAATTGTTTACCAACAAAATCTATATGACGAGCGTAAGCGTCCACCCGTCACTCGTACGTTACATGAGTTCGTTGATATTCCACCCACCCTCTTTTTCCTGCCCCCACCCTTAGGGGATCATCCCGCAGGATCGGGGGGTGAGCGCGTACTTGTTTAATGACGTTGCTTTCGTTTACTGGAGATCGGAGGGTGCGATCTTATTTTTCTTTAGACTGGACGGCTAATGGATGGAGTTTTCTGCGTTCCATTCTCTTATTCTTTATAATACATAAATTTTGTTTCTTATTTTGAATAAAATCACTAAAAACGAAAATGGCAATAAAAGTCTTTTTATAAACTTTTATTGCCATTTTCGTTTTAACTTTACTGAAAAAAGATTTATGCATGTGATGACCTCTTATAAAAACTCATTAATAAATAACGTTTTCTTACTATACATACCACAAAAGAAAGTGTTGTTCAAACTTGATTCAGTAATAGTTACTTTAACGATTTTAATTGACGGTAAACAAAAATAAAACGTATAATAATCGAATATTCAGTGTTTAAAGTACGCCCATTTTCAACTCGACTCCACAAACCAATCTTGTAACAATTTCGACGGTCTCCATTCTTAATTACGTTTTTGTTTTGTTTTTCCTCTACGTAATTACCTATTTAGTAATTAAACTTTATCGCTGTTATTTTGTATCATCTGAATGTTATCATGCAACTTTACCCTTGTTATGTTATATACGTTCAACGTTAAAATAATATTCTTTTAACAAAGGGAAATAAATTAAATCTGTAGTGAATGTCGAACTCCTAATGTAAAAATGCGTACTTACGTAATAGATATTAAAATAGGTATCACAAGGCACGGTCAGTTCAACTGATCATTTCAACTAATCAGTTCAAACTAGGACCGTTGATATTTTTTAAAATAATATATTTTAATAAATAAATTTTAATAAAATATATTTTCGATATATCGATATTTATAAATATATCAATATCGGAGTTTTATGTATAAGTTTATTTATCGATATATCGAAAATCCGATATTTAAAAAAATATCAACAGTTTTAGTTTGAACTGATCAGTTGTAATGATCAGTTGAACTGACCGTGTGTCGTCCATAAGAAATTGAAATTTTACCATTGAAAATGCAATGCAACTTGCTATGAAGAATGTATATCCCATCGCATGGTACTCAGCAAATCATTGATTAGTTTTTATTTGTGGTATAAACTTCTTTTAGGGTCAAATCTTAGTAAAAATCGTATTTAAATTCTTTAGTAAAAACCACTTAATAGGAAAACTAAGCGATTTCAAATTATACGTAAAAGTAAAATAAATCACGCTCTGTGATTCAACTTAAATTTATCATAACGGCTTGGATACAGACAATTTAAATCAAAAGATGATAGCCTATCTCTTTGTCAATCTATACGCGGCTTCACCCCAGCGTGGGGTGAGGACAGAGTAGGGGGCGGAGGGCTACCGGATCGAGACAGACGTGAAACCGCGTGCACACACTCTAAACACGTTAATGCCCTTGTCTGCATTTCGCTGTACCAACTGTACTTATATTCATCGTCTGGAAATTTATTTCAATGTACTGTAAAGAGATCCGATTTTGAAATTTAATCGGCTATAATGAATTCTACGTGGTAGAGCCATGCTGCAGTTATATTAGTAGTATAGTTGTAGCACGAATGGGTCGGCTCGACCGGAGAAGGACCACGCTCTCACAGAATACCAGCGTAAAATAGCAGCTTAATGCTGCTGCGTTTCGTATGGTGAGTGTAGAGAACCGGACACCCTTTTAACTGAAAACGAGGCATTCCATCTTAGTCCTCACGGGTGACAACGCATCTGCATTTTGATTCGTAATCGAGGATAGATGTAGATGTCTATGAGCCACAGCAGCCACTTACCATCAGGTGAACTGTGTGCTCGTTTGTCACCCTATCCTATAAAAAAATTCTACATAAGAACAATAATTAGATATTCGTCATCATCATCATCAAGTCCACTGCTGAAAACAGGCCTCCCCACAGATTGCTTCATAAGAGTAATATGTATTTGCCTTAGTTGGCACGTTTTTCAGGTGGATTGGCAACCACAGTTCTTTAATTTCTAGTTTTATTAGGGAGACGGTGCTGACCATCTTCTGGTTAGTTTTCCATAAGGTATTAAGTATGGACTGCAAAATGGGCATATACATTATGAGTTATTATAAAAGTTAATGTCTAATCCGCAACCTAATGAAATACAATGATGTGTCTTACCTGGATTGAAGAGCACCTCCCGTCCTCCCTCAATTGCGTGCACTAATCCCGTTACCTGTTACTAGTCTCAGCACCACTACTCCCAACACCACTACTCCCGGCACCACTACTTCCACCACTACTATTCCAGGAAAGACACACCATCGACGATAATACGACCGTGTTTCGCCTCTACACGAGGTATCTTCAGGAGATGTAGACTCTATGGCGGCTGACAACTAATATAGCCGTCCGATAATATAGCGATATATAGAGTAATCTACACACTACTAAAAAAAATAACTCACTTTGTCAATCGTATTCGGGTTTTATAAAAAACATTATTTCGAATGTAATTAAAGGTCTCAATCGCCTTAAACTTTATAGCACCTGCATATATGCCCAACAGATTTCTTAATTGAAAATTTGAGTGGCGATTTACTACCTGCTCATCGGTGAAGAAAAACCCCACGCTGCAGCAACATTATGGCTGCAGAAAAAATGTGTTGGCTTGACTGAAATAGGACCAACCCTCTCACGGAATACTAGTTTAAAATAGCAGCTTAATAATGCTATTTTTCGTGTGGTTTGCTAAGGACGTATGCAGATTATTAACTCCAATAAATATAGTAAACAACATAATATATATAAAGTCCCGCTGCTACAAGTAACCTTTCTGGGTGGAGTTTTGAAGCAGAACGGTCACACCAACCTAGAGTAACAATATCAAATCATAAATCATTCATCATCATTTTCACCTCATTGCCTTTCCCTTTTAATTAGCTGCAAGATGAAGCTGTAAGAGTCATGACTAACAGCATTAACATCAAGATAATAGAGAGGTGGAGTTTAAAAGAAGAACCCGAGGCGCTGCCCCAATGATTCTTGACAGACTTCACATGTTCTAGAATATTTTAGTATTTTATGCAGGATTCTCAGGATTTTTTTTAAATAAAATATGGTTGAAAAACGAGCACACACAGGCCACCCGATAGCAAGTGTATAGTGCTGCCCAAAGACATCTACATTTATCTTCGATTAAGACTCAAAATGCAGATGCGTTGTCATCCCTGAGGACTAAGATGGAATGCTTCTTAATACGGAACACGGCAGTATTAGGCAGTCCTGGCCCGATCGAGCGGACTCATTCGTGCTACAACCATAATAAAGCTGCAGCATGGCTCTACCACGTGTAGTCATTTTGATCCAAAAATATAGAATTTATTAATAGCTCGACTAGCGCCACCTATCAAAACAAATACCTTAATCGGTGAAGTCGTTTATATGTTACGCGATCAGTCAGCCGCATCAACAATCTAATATTTAACGTTACAGCCTAACAAAAGTTCACTGATCCTAAACTGTATATATTTGCCATAGTTGCCACCCTTGGCAGGCGAGCTGTCATCCGCAGTTTGTTTTAATTTGTAGGAAGACGCTACTGCCCATCTCCTATTTCACCTTTTCCCTTTGTCGCCTCCGACATCTACGGGATGATACAGGGTAGCTAGTGGATATCCTTACATCGCAGAGCTACATTATGCAAACATAACCTCAATCGGTCATGTAGTTAAAAATTTACGACGATCACTAACCTCTTGTATCAGGGGGATTCCCCCTGACCGTAGATGCTGTAAAGTGCCTATAACATCCAGAATTAAAAAACTTTAAATGAAACTCACTAAAATCGGTAAAACTAGATTTATTCCATGTGTAGTATTCGCATAAACATAAGAAATCATTATGTTAAACAAGACATTTAAAATATTTGTCATTGTCGACTGAATAATAAAGATTAATTAAAAGTAAAATACACGATTTGCGAAACATTATTCTAAGTATTTTGTTTGAAATGTCGGATTCTGAATTTTTATAAACTAAGAGTGAATAATTAATTTTACCTCAATGTAAGGAAGAGGTAAATTGTCAAACAATAATTTTATTGCCAATTTATAAACATATTTGAAGGTTATTTAGCATTATTTTTAAATTTCATCAAATAGTACGCCGCGTTGACTGGGTGTCTATATTTAAAATGCGTCGTTTTCTTTTCAGAGTCGTTTTGCAGTAAGTACATTAATAACATGAAACCCCCTTTTTAAAACAAAATAGCAAGTCAAATATTTATAAATCGTTTTGTTTTTTATTTTTTTTATTTTTATTTTAAGTCATCCCCAATTGTTGAATGAACAGTTCGTAATTTAAACTGTTATTACATGCACATTATATGTAATAAATCGGATCATGACGGAGAACAAAAAGTTTCTTGAATATAGAAATCTA